ATATGCTTTCTATATCCTTTTAAATTCTGTAAAATCTGTGGTAGTGTCCTCTAAATCTTGATATTGTAATTTAAATATATATAAAATTGAAATTGCATAATAGGAAGAAAAGGTCTAAAGGAGTAGGGGAAAGGAAAGAAGGGAAAAGAAAAAATACAAGAAAAGGAAAAAATCAAAACAAAGTCTTGTAAATAGGGATGGGTGGAGGGGGTGAAGGAAGGGCAGGGGATTGGGGAAAAAATAAGAACCAAAGTATGTCATGTAAAGGTACAAGATCCCAATGATGAATATAACTCTATTTTATACCTAAAATGTACCAATAAATTTAATGGAAAAAGAAAGAGAGGAAGACCTAGAGGTGAAAGAAGGAAGGAGGAAGGGGAGGGTAAGGAGATGAAAAAAAGAAGATGAGTTATGTGGAGGTATCAACTCCCACATGAATGTAACCATTATGTACTACAAATATATACTAATAAAAATTAAAATTAAAAACCTTAAAAATTAATTTATGTAAGTTTATAAAATGGTAACACTAATTTTGATTTTTCCTTGTTTACCCAGTGTTATAGGTCATATAGCCAAGCAGAAAAAGTATATATTTTATTTTCCAGTTTTCAAACCATCTTTGAAAGATAGTAAGATATTCCTGTTTTCTACATTATATGTTACAAATTTAAACATATTTTGTTTCAAATCATTACAAATATTTTACGTATTTATACTAAATTTCTTCCAACTCTAGCTAAAGAAATCTCTTACTGACTCTTGAAAACTTTTGACACCAGCTTGGTAGTCTTGGATTTATTTTTTGCTACCAGAAGTGAAAAGGTTTTTCATAGTTGTCTTTGTTTTCTGTCCTGGACCTGAATCAATGATCTCTTTCAGAAACCTTAATTACTTTTGTTGGTAAAATGAATTTCAAAACCATGGTCTAAACACTAGAAATGAATGCTGCTTCTAAGTTGGTCATATTTTTAGTCTTTGTCTTTGTGTTCAGAGTATACACTTTTTGTTTCTGAAGACAAACTAAAACCTGAATTTAAGTTTACACTGTCAATTCACTATCAAGCTGTTGTATTTTTACTTTTATATTCAGATCTTCTTACTGTTTCTACTAGTTTTCAGTACCAAAAATGACAGGATTAGACTATCACTTAATGATTTATTTAATTTGTTGTAAAATACTCGCAACCAATTTAGAATAAGAACATCAGTACCACCACTATTGTAGGATTTCTATAGGCAAATTTTTATTTTGCTGTTCTTTGTAATTTCTCTGTTTCAATAGGGGTATATTTTAGTAAGGATATGATGTCAAGTGTTTATCTTTTAAAGTTATCTGAGATAGTTTTCTCTATGTTTATGCTGAAGTAAGCAACTAAAGACAAATGTATATAGGTTTTTGATTTATTTTTTAAATTTGTTGAGATATCTGTAATTTGAATTTGTTTTGTAATAATATGTAACATTATGGGACTCCAAAAATAATTTTATTGCCTCCCTCTCTTCCATATGTCAGTATTTTAAATGTTATTTTTATATTATAAATTATCATCCTTACAGGATACATCACCATTTACTCAGACAAACCACCATTGAGGTAGATTTAGATGATTATTTATCTTTCATCATAATCCAAAAATGTGGTAGAAGTCAGATTTCTGAATCAGACAGTAAACATTGGGCTGAAGAGTATTTCTGGTAAAGCACTTGTTATGAACAAGGCCTGTGTTTGATACCCAATCCTGAAAAGAAAGTAAACATTAACATGATTTTGATAGATTATACCAAGTTCTCCTTCACTGATGTATGAACTTTCTGCTCATATTCTAGCAACAACCATTTTTAAAGCATTGTTGGTTTTTTAAAAAAATCTACTTTATAAATTGCCATATATTAAGGTTGTGAACATTTTGCCTCCGATGTAATTTGGAAATATTTCCCAGCTTGTCACATGCTTTCATTTATTTATATGTCTTATAATATAATTTCTTACTTATTGCTTTTCAATTTTGAGAAATTGTTTGGGAAGATTTGCCTAATTTCAAATCTGAGTTAAATTTATCCATATTTTCATTTATTAATAGTATTTTTATTATGTATTGTTTTATCGTACATATTTTCTCCATTGGTGTTTAGTTTCTTTCACATATCATCGGAAGAAGCAATTCTAATATTTTCTCTAATTAGGGTATAGACGTGTATATTATGTGAAGTAATTCTAATGGAAATAATTTTATACTTTTCTAAGTGACTCTCCTACTAAAAGAAATAATTCCTTCAGCGTATATTAAATTTCATATATAATTTTTACAATGCCTAGATTTTCCTATTTTAATGGTGGTCATTTCTAATTTTCTTTCCCTTACAAAATGTCCAGGAGAATTCCCTTTCCTGTGTAAGTGTTAAAACAGAGGAGTAGCGCAATAAGCATAATTTTGGATCTGAATGCAAATATTTGAATAACCAGCCCTGTCTCATTTTATCTCTTTGAGTTAAATATTATTTAATCTCTCAAATCTCTCAAGTCTTCATCTATAGAAAGGAATTGAGTTACAGAGGTTTTGATGATTTCTAGTATAACTAATCATCAATATTTTATTAGAATTTCTATATTTGACTTTTATGATTTGACTTCTACTGTTTTTTCTACTTTGTGAAAAAGAAAAGCAGTACACAAAGTAAGATGATACAACTGAAAGGAATTTATGCAAGAAGAAATGTATTCAACTTACTAAAGTGCCTACATTTAGGAAATATCCAACCTACATATTAAGAGTATCATCAAAGGCTACATTCTAATTTCTGATGGTTGATATTAGCTAAATACTTATATATTCAAAAATTTGACAAGATTCAACAGAATAGGTTCATATTAGTTTCTAGACAACTTGATATTTGGTTTAAATTATGAGACATTATGCGTTGTAAGATATATTGAAAAGCAATGTTGGCTATAATGAAGATTTATGCACCGTTGAAACACAATTTTATGATATAAAATTTGCTTTTCCTACACTTAATAGCTCACTTCATGTGATAGTTCCAAATTAATTAAAGAGCACACTTAATAAAAAAACAAATATTTTCCATTATCTTATTCATAAGCTCATTATTTACTACATTTGTGCCTGCTTTCCCAGACTGCATAATTTTGAAACTTAATTTACTAATGAAATTGTAATTTTGTTGCACGGTTAATGAAGGGAAATAGATGAAGCAGACTCACATATTACTTTTTGTTCCCAATTATGTGCTGAAATCTCCATGTCTTTCAGGGACTCCTGAGGATTACCCACAATTTTTCCATATGCATCCCAGGACTGCAGAACTTAGTCTTCTGGAGCCAGTGAACAGAGACTTTCATCAGAAATTTGATTTGGTTATTAAGGTAAATTAACTTAATAGCATATTTCCTTGTACCATGAAATATTAATCAAAGACAATGAGAGGGTACAATAGCCATTTTTCTTTCAAAAATTAAAATTAATGCGAACAGTGGTTGACCAATTTTTTTGTTAAAATATCTTAAATGTAGCTTAAATCACTTTATTGTCTTTTTCTAAAATAACATTTTATAGTTCTATGAAGTGAAATACTACTAAATATTTTATATATAATAAGTTCCCCAGTCAAATATATATTATCCTACATAATATAATTTTATCCTAAAATGTAATATAATATAACAATATTGTAATGAAAGGAATGAACTTTAGCTTTTAACCATAAAATGATAATAAATGAATATATATTCAATGTGCTTGATTTAACTGTGTCTAATATCCCTCACCTACAACTCTAGCACTCTACCTGTGAGGCCAAGATGGGAGGATAGCAAATTTGCACACTGAGCATCTAGCCACTTAGTAAGACTTTGTCTCAAAATAAAAAATACAAATAAAAGGCCAGAGAGGTATCTCAGTAAGAAAACCCTGGTTCAATACCACTACTGTAAATAAAATAAATAAATAGAGCTTAATTTATATTTTTATTAAAAATATATATTATTTGTTTAAATATGGCTGGTTTTTTAACATAGGAAAGTCTTGCTCAGTTAGAGATTCTTTTAATAAATGCCTCATTATTACTGCTATTTTTATGTTGAAAGGTGATTCTAGACCTGAAAACAATTTCAAAGCTAAGGAAATCTTTTGGATTTAAAATTTTAGTTTTATAAACTCTAGTATATTGTAATGAAATCTTGTAAAAGATATTATGAAAGCATGGATAATTTTCCAATTAATTCAGATGGACTTCACTGAGAAGGTGAGACCAAAGTTGGGCTTTGAAGAAAGGGTAGGAATTTGCCAAGCAGAGATGAAGAATGAAAGAAGGGCATTATAAATAGAAAAACATGACAATAAGAAAAATACAAAATTAGTCTAGTCTATATTGCACGACTTTTATATCTATGAATACAAAATTATTAGCTCTGTAAATGTGACCCTATGTTATTTTTCTTAAACTTTAAATGTAAAAGTAATAAGTAAGGAAGCCTGTGTAACGTGCATTATGCGTGCTACTTTCTGTACATTTTTCACTGGAAGGTTCACAACCTTCATAGGATGCTCAATTTATACACAATATGGAAACTAAAGCTCAGAGTAAGTGACTAACTTAAAGTTACATGGAAATAAGAGGCAAAATTGAGATTCAACTTTCATTTTATCTATGGTAAAGCCATTCTCATATTACTTCACAGAATATATAGCTACTTAAAAATGGTTCTTTGGTTTTATTAGGTGTATTACTTTATCATTACTTTAGTATTACTACCAACTGCAGAAAACATTGAGTACACATATATTTAATTTTAGCTCTAAGTAAGAGATATATTCTTAGCACCAATTATAGTACTATAGTAATATACTAGAACCTATATTTACTGTATTTAGGAGTTACTTTTTCTTGAAGAGTTTGTAGTCTAGAAGCAGATAGATCAAAAACAACACATCAAGATCTAACAGGAAAATCACATAAAAGGAGCCAACAAAACACTAAACAGGGATATTTAAATTAAACTGGGGACTCAGGAAAAATTTTATGAAGAGTACTCCAAGCTAAATATTGCTGAGTTGAAAATGTTTGGCCAGTGAATAAAAGTGAAAGATATGTTTGAACATAAGGAATAGCAGAAATAAAAGCTGGGAGGCATAATATAACAGTCTACAAGCAGTTAACAGGGAAATGAGGCATAGAGCCAGGCCATGGGGAGAGCCTTATGGATGGATTCAGGTTGCTTGGATTTAATTTTGTAAGAGTTAATCAATTTAATTTTAGGAGTCAATCAACAAAGAAACACTATTTTTACCATTTGTATAAAATGGTCATGCAGGAGATCTATATTCTTCCATTGACTAATTTAATTATCATGGGACTAAAGAGCTCAGAAATATTTCCCCTTTGTCTGTTGTTCTCCTAGAGTCCTATAATGCTGTTTTCCATGGGAGTTAAGAAACAGGATAAAGCTCCATTACCATACTGCCACATTTGAAATAATAAATCAGTTATTTTCCTTATTATCAAAGACAGTTGTCCTGGAGTACCTGTGTAAAGTGTAATTCAGGACATTCATTACAGAAAGAAAATCAATTAGAACCAATTTCAGATATTTTCTTAATATTTTAATTTTATAATACTAATAGAAGTTTATGCAGACATATAGTAGATTCAAACACCTATGTTTTGTGTGCAGTCAAAGGAAAGATACAAAGTCATCAATTTTTAAGAACAATAATGTGCCACTTGCTTGAGTACTAGCTGAGTATTACATCATTATTCAGGGACCCACTGAAACACTATGGCTGGCACTAACAACTTTTTCAACTTCTTTCTTTTTATCTTAATAATCTTTCATTTTTCATTGACTATAAAGCTTTGTTTGACTTGATCCCAGTTTCTATATTAGAAGCTAATGAAAACTGAAATACAAAGAAATGTCTTCTAGATTTTGAAGAGTTCTGCTTTCAAAAGCCACATGTGCTTATAACAACTGATGACTGCCACAAATGACAGATTTATTGTTTTTATTCTTCACAATTTCTACCAGTGATTTATTTAGAATATTGGCAAACAAAAATATAAAGGTGAAGTTATGAAGGCAAACTGGAGATGTTCACGAGCTTCAGCACATTCATGTCCAACTGAAAGAGAAAAGGGTCTTTCATTTCACAACACTATCCTAAAACTGAAATAATCATTATCACTAAAATATATAAAAATGCAATACATATTGTGCATGAGAATCAAATATTAGGTTCTCCCAGGATACTTTATGTTTTTTCTGTTGTCCTTGAATAATTATTCATAACATCCTCTCACTCTCAAAATTGTCCCAGTTGGATGATATGTGAGCAGTATACGTATGAAGAAGAAGAAAACCCTATAAGGTAGAAATATAGTAGTACATTTAAGATTCTCTACATATGAACTAAGTGTAGAACATCTATTACATAGCCCAGAACATTTACTTTCATCATTTTTAGTGTGATGTTTTAAAATTATTTCTTGGTATATTTATACTTGAAGCTTCTAAAGCAAAGGTACTCTCATTTTAATTATTAAAACAAATTTAAAAAGTAAAGTAATAATAATTCACCATCTGTTTCTCAAAAAATAATTACATTTTTATTTAAATTTCTTTGATTAAAATATTTGATTAACCTTTGATTAAGCAAGGGTCACAATGAAATCACAAACATCATTGTATCCTGGTGCTTTGATTTTTCTGTTGTTACTCAATGACTTCTTTACACTGCCTAGAGTATAAATTTTTCTTCAGTCATGAGCAGACTATCATATATTGTATATGATGTCTTTAGCTGTACCCTAAGTTCTGACTAGTCACCTTCCAGCCATAGCCAACCACTGGCAGTGCCCAGAGTTCTGCATACTCTCTCATGTCATGGAATTTGCAGTGCTGCTCCTTTTCTAGAATCATACCTGTCTTTGTTCAGGCCAACAATGTAATTTATATTAATGCTTCAGTTTTTTTAATAAAAGACACTTTCTCTGCAAAGGCACAGACCATGCTCAGAGCCTTTGCAGCCCATTTGATCCTGTAGTAGTAGTGGTCATTTTATGTTGAATTTATTTTCTCCTGACCTTTACAGATGGCACATTGTGATATATTTCTTTACATTGTATCCTGTGCCTAACCTTGCCTATAACACATAAAAGTTGCTGAATGAACATTTGTGATAATGGTTTTCTTCTGGGTGCAGCAAATCTTTTTAAACTTCTGAAGGTTATCTACATTTTCACTATATTTAAATAAATACATTTGAAAGTATATGTATTTTATACAATTTTATCTTGCATCTTTGTCCAGAAATAGAAAAAAAAATGATTGCAATGGAATTTTGAAAGAAATTCAACCCTGGATTTATGTTAAAGCATGCTTTCAGGTATTTATGACTGCTTTAAAAAAAGCCACAATTCTTATAAAGAAAATGTATATTATTTGACATAGAAAATCAGCCAGGGAATGCCAATTAGTGAGCTTGACTCTGTGTATCTGTGCCAGTTATTTTGGCAAGCTACTTACCTTTAGAGGTTGTACAGTTACAGAGAAACAGCATTAGTGAACTGATTGATGCCTAAGAAAGCAGCTGCTATAACTCTTGACCCTACATGAATCTCTAACACCACAACTCTGTAAAATGTTTAGCCTCTACGTGAAAAATGATATCAGTTACACTTTACTTACACTTTACTACCCAGGAATTAAGTGGGAAACCCAAATTTAGTGTTTTTTAAGTGTGTCACATTTCCAGCTTTCAATTTGCAAGTCTTTAAGAAGTCCCTGCCTTGGGGTAACCCTAAATATACTAATTATGCTTTCAGACACATTTCCCTGGTGGTGTCCATATCCACATCTCCAATATTTTGTTTCATAAGTACTTTTAGTATTATACAATCTTGTCACATTAAAACTGTAACAAATTATGGGTGTCCTTTTGAAATTTCTAGTCTTCTACTTTCGGTCCTTCTTTCAATTAATGCTACAATTGGACAGTTACCCAACTAGGTACAACCATTTCTCATAGGCCTCCCTTCTCCTACATCATCCTCCACTCAGTTATAACAATCCAGATACCTCTGGAATTTCTCTTTATCCATCTTTCTGCACCTACATCACTTTTCTAATTTGCATCTCACACAAATAATCTCTCAAACTTTAGGTACATTTTCTTATATCTTGATCATGTTCCACACTGTCAATAAAATCTCGCTAAGACAGCAATAATAAAAGTATATCATGTTGCTGCACATTGCCTTCAAAGTAAATTAAAATTTGTCCCTCACATGAATTTCCACCCGAGACTTTGTCTAGTTGAAATATCGTAAGTATGAGGGTCCGAGTAGCAAATTACAGATTATCAATCATTTCTCAAAACAAAAATGATGAAATCTCCCATGAAAATGAAAAGAACTATCAACATTCATTAAATTCTTTAAGATGATTGTGAAATATAAGTTACTATATTTTCTCTGTAGTATGTTATAAAATTATGAAAAAAACCCAAGATAACTGCATGAACACTACCTTTGAAAGGAATAAAATAAGACACATCCGTTATTCAGGATTAGGGAGGAAGGAAGGAAGGAAGGAAGGAAGGAAGGAGGGAGAAAGAGAGGGAGGGAAGGAGGGAGGGAGGAAGAAAGGAAGAGAAGAAGAAGAAAAAGAAGAGGAAGAGGAGGAGGAAAAAGAAGAGGAAGAAGCAGGAGAAGGATAAGAAGAAAAGAGGAAGAGGAGGAAGTGAAAGAGGAGGGAAGGGGTGTAGGAAGAGGAAGAAGAGAAAGAGGAGGCAGAGAAGGAGGAGGAAGCAGAGGAAGAAGAGGGGAAGGAGAAAAGAAAAAAGAAAAGAAAAGAAATCAGAATTACTTTTACCTAGCCATAGAAAACAATGTGGATTGCATGCCTTCATATGTCTGGAACTAGTATAGATTTGTATTCCTAGGTGATGTGGATTACATGCCTTCATACGTCTGGAACTATTCTAGATTTGTACTCTTAGCCATATTTTTATAGATTCTTCCCCAAAGAATTGAAATATGTACACATTATGTTCCTGTCAGTAAGCCAGTGTGGACTACCTTAACAAAGTTCCATAAACTAACCGATCTATAAACAACAGAGTTTTATTTCTAACCATTCTAGGAGCTGGGAATATGAGACTAGGTGTTTAGCATGTTTGAGCTATGGTTAAGTCTCTCTTCTGAGTTGCAGATTACAAACATCTCTTTGTATCCTTACATAGTAGACAAAGGGTGAGAGAGCCATTTTGGACAACTCTTTGTAAGGACACTAATCACATTCATAAACTTTTATCCCTTGTAACCCATTGCAAAATAGCCCCACCTCCTAATTTCATCCAATTTGAGGTTCAACGTATGAACTCTGGGAAATACAAACAGTCCATTATACACAATATTTTAATTCAGAGGGTTAATAAAAAATTTATTTCCCTTGCCCCAAGAGCAAAGTGAAAAAATGTGAAATCTTTTATTCATTTTAGTGAAAATCATCTCATAAAAATTTCAGGCATTATTTGTAGTAGTACTAAAATAGCAAACCTTCTACAAGTTTATAAATAAGAAATACATTTTGTATAATCAATTACTTATTTGATAGAGTGGTAAGTGTTCATCTTTTGTTGTGATTTTGTGTTTTAGTTATTATGAGGGATTTTTTTGTTTTTGTCGATTACCACACAAAGTATTATTTTTGTTTCTTCAACAGTAATATTGTGTCCTGAAATATTTTTGAAATTCTGACTGCTAGACTAAATTAATTGACTGTTAAGCCATTATGAGAATTAGAAAAAGAAAAGAAAGCACAACATCCACCTGCCTCATAACATTATCTTCCAGCAGGATTAGTGACAACAGAAATAAAAATATAGCAAATGAATACAAGGGATGTCCATGTATGCAAGCTGACAAAAGACACACAGAGGTGATATTTGACTTGGCCTCTTTCCTTCTTCACAAGGTGACCTGCAACTGCTTGGAAGAAGAAAGGCAATTTATCCAGTGTTGTCACAGTACCTTGATTTTCTGCAAAGCTAAATGCATGAGTACAACAGCAAATCAACATATTGTATAATGTTCAAATGAAAGCCACTCTCTGAGCTGTCTCAGCCATATTTCCACACCCCACCCTCGGCATAAACTTCCTCAGCCTTCCGTCTGATTGTGGCAAGCAATCTTCATAAGCTTCTTGGCTGTTGCATAGAAATATAAAAATAAAAGTATTGGAAAACATGAAAGCCAAACAGACCAGTTTGTTACTTTTTTCCCTCAACAACAGTTTGATACATACAGGAGAAACATTACCCTCACCGTTATTACTTTCCAGACACTTAAAAATGTACATTTTGAGTTTAATTTTTTATGTTAATATTTTTTTTAAAAAATCAAATAATGATGGATAGGTTTTATCAGATGGTAAATTCATGAAAGGTACCTTAGTAGGGTTTTCTCCTGATTGAGAGAGAACTTAGTACTGTATCCGAATCCAGTATAGGACCAGGTGGCTTTGCCTTGTGGAAGAGCAAATAAAAGTGGAAATAAAGGAGTAAAAGAAAAAGCTACTTCATCATTACCATAATTTTATACCTGTATGAACTTGCTGTTTATATTTAAAATGATTCCCACATTCAAAATAATATCCAAATAGTTTGGCAAACCTGAGATTACCTGGAACTTTCTGAAGGTATGATCTTCCCCAAAGTGACTCTGTTTTTCTTCTTTAAATCATTGAAAAACATTGTAGTAATTCCAGCATCAGTTTATATATCAAAATTTAAAAAAGGAGAAAGATTTTTATTATTGAAAGTTATGCAAGAGCTTTGATGCTTTATGTTTTATTGCAATAAATTATAAATATATTCTTATTTGAAGTGAAGATAAAATATTTCATTTTATTCAAAATATTCTCTAAGTGGGAAATGTGTTATTTATTTTTTGCCGTAAGATTTTCTGAGTGTACACTATCCAGTGTAGATAGCTTTTAGTTACACACACACACACAATATATATATATATATATATATATATATATACAGCTTATAAAGAACTAGGTCTTTGCTATATTTATGATCTTATAAAATCTATTTATTAATTATTTATTATCTATTTATTATGATCTTATTAAAATCTATTTAGCATAATTATTTCTCCTTTGACACCTCTTATCAAGAAAGTGGTCTTTGCTATATTTATGATCTTATAAAATCTATTTATTAATTATTTATTATCTATTTATTATGATCTTATTAAAATCTATTTAGCATAATTATTTCTCCTTTGACAAATTATTGTATGATTTTGAAAGCTTCAAATATTTTAATAACTTTTCTCAAATTCTTTGTAAGGTCTTTACTCTTTAGAGCATTAAAGTTTAAAGAATGGTTTATAAGCAGTAAAACAAAGAAATATAGTTCTATTAAGTCATTTATTAATTACTGCAGGCCAACTCTAAGAATTTCCAAAGAATATATGAGAAGTGATAAAAATATAAGGTGCCAGGGATGGTGAATAAGATAGTTGAGGAAACCCTTAATGATTTTCAGAACCCCCCTTTCCTTTGGATGGGACTAGACAGGAGCATTCATTGTATATTTTTGTAACAACTTGTAAAGAAACATAAGAGGACTACCAGAATGGATTCAAAAAGTGGCAAAAAATATGGAATAAGTACTGAATGTTCAAAACAAGAGGGAGTAATTGAAAGGGATTCATGTCAATATGTTTTTGTTGTAATAATTTGTAATTTAAAAAAATTATCTGGCTGCCTGTCTATCTTTTGGCCCCAAATCATTATAGAACTTTAGTGAGTTAGGGAGTATTCTACAGAGAATTTCATTATATGAACTTGGTCCTCCATTCTATTTTCAATCTTCAAGTCCAAAAAGAAATTTGAGACATTAGTCCAAATGAAAAAGAATTATAACTATTTCCTAAGAAGAGTGAGCAGAGTTAGCCTAAACTGCTCATCATGGGAGCTCTTTTTGAAGGTACGAATCCTACTTATGAACAATCTGCCCTCATCACCTTACTATCGCCCAAAAGTCTTGCCTCTTAACAGTGTAACTTTGGGGATTGGGATTTCAACATATGAATTTTGGGGATACCTAAATATTCAAGCTATATTAGATACTTAGATACTTAATAATTAATATGGAATTTTGAAAACATGGAAAAAGCAAAAATAAAGGTAGTATGTTATTTGGGTTTTAATTATTTTTTTCTCTTTAATTTAAATATATATCAGCAAATCATTCAAATGTATTCATTTATTTTTGTTCAACTATACTTAAACATAGTTATCTCTCCTTGATATATACAGCAACAATTACAATAACTCATTGGACAATTCATATATGCAGCATGAAATGTGTCATTCTAAAAGGTTGTCATAATGTAAAATTTATTTTTTTTATTTTTAGGCAGAACAGGATAATGGCCACCCCCTTCCTGCCTTTGCCAGTCTACATATTGAAATATTGGATGAAAATAATCAGAGCCCTTATTTCACGATGTCCAGTTATCAAGGCTATGTCTTGGAATCAGCCCCTGTGGGAGCGACCATTTCTGATAATCTGGATTTATCCAGTCCTCTAAGAATTGTTGCTCTGGACAAAGACATAGAAGATGTAAGTTAAATATATATGTTTATTTTGCTTTGTCAATGCATTTCTTCTTATATTTATGTTAATAGGTAGTAGGACAAAGGGATGGTTGTGTGAGCTATAGAGTAGAGAATAAACAAAATGGGTATAATGAAGCTTAATGTTATAATTTAATTCCATATCAAAACTGGTTTTAAAAAGTCTGCTCGAATTTGATGAGATTCTTTTTCAGTTTGCAGCAATTTGTATATTTAATAAAGTGAATGTCTTACTTGGGTTTTACTGATACACAAGAACAATCTTTTATATTAATATAAATTGAACTTTTTATTTATTTACTTATAAGAAAAATGCCATTACACAATGAAAGTAAAACTCATGAAGGAAGCCATAAAGTGTGATTTGGGGTTTTTCTTTCAGTCTGATAGTAATATATCTTAAGAAAAACACATTTGTGGCCACCCAACCCACTCACACTTCTGGCAGTAGTTGTTTGTTTCTGCTCCTCCACTCCACTCATCCTTGTCTTTTGGTTTTGTGTTACTTACCCTGCTTTATGATAGGAAAATGATCCAGGGTAGGAAAATCAGAGTACTTAACCTGCTCAGCCAAAGTAATTTTACATGAAAACTGGATAGAAACGCTATACCAGGAAAACTAGAGTTCTCTCGGGAATTTAAAGGTCAATAAGAGCTGGAAGGCATTGGCATCATGAAAATGCATTGGAAACCCTTCTATCCAGGTTTGCTGACATGGTGGAGAAACCACACTGTCAACTGTAATAGAATGAAGCCTGAAAGACATCCAGAAAGAAAGACCTTTGGTGTTATGAGGTCCCCGCAGCTATCCTAATTCCAAAAGATTTTGTTTTCATTCTGTGAACTATCACAATACCCTGGCAACAAACATAATAATATAGATATATATGTAAATATGCACACACATATATACTGTCTCTGTCATATATATATATATATATATATGTGTGTGTGTGTGTGTGTGTATTATAGATAGTTTAATTTTTGTCATTTTCAAGGTAAAATTTTCTGATTTAGTGATTCCTCCATCATCAACAGCATTAATAAAAATTTCTTTGATGATGAAAATGTTCTGGAGGTACGCTGCCCAATATTGCAGCCACTGGCATAGTTTGTGGCTATTAAATACTTTAAATGTGACTAGCTTGAAAGCATGACCGTTACATTTTGTTTAATTTTACTGAATACATGCAAATAGTCACATGTGGCTAATTGAAGAGCACAGTGCTGCTATGTTCCCCAAACTATCATTAGATAGAGCTTTATTATCACTTCAGTAGATTAAGAAGGCACCTTCAGATTTTGGGGGTGGGAGACTGTGAATATGACAACTCTCACAGGCACTTCACTTCATCCTGACAGGCTTTTAATTTTAGTCTTTTATCTTTTTATGCTTTCTTTTCTTCTATTATACTTTCTTTTCTTGCATTTCCCAGCTGTAAATTACCATATTGAAGAGAAGGGTTTTGAAGCTATTCTTAAATATCTTATGATAGGTGAATAAAAGGACCTTGAGCCAAATTCTATGTAAAACAAATTTCTTGATGTTAAAGTCCTAGATTTACCTAATCCAGACAGCTTCTATTTTGTGTACTCTGACTGTAATCTAACTACAATTATAGTTGATAAATGGAATAACCTTTCTCTTATACAAGTGCACATACATACACAATTTCATACATCAATTTCAGGGGTTTAGAGTCCCCTTAAATTTAATGAGTTTCATGAATCATGGGGTAATGATCTCCATTTAGTGAATTCTCACTAGAAAACACTTAGAGTCACTTAGTAAGTTTTATCCAGGGAAAGATAAATTAATATACAGATATGGTTATGTTCCTCAATTTTTTATAGGTTCAATTGCATTTTTCAAATTGAAATCATAGTAGTAAGTTTGTACTAATTTATGTCATACATTTATGATCATGAGTTTATAAAAAACTAAATCCTAAAATTATACAGTTTTAGGATCTACTAGAATAGCAGAATTTATGCATTTATATATACTTAGCATATTTATTTTATTTAATAGTTGTATACTAAGCCCTTAGATGCTTGCATGCATGCTTATGTACCTGTGTTTTCTCTTCTCTTTCAAATTGCAAGTACATACTCAAAATTATGTTTCAAGAATTTTTTAGAAATTAGTGGAAATCACAAAACATTGTTGAAAATAGAGCAAAGGATTATCTTGGGTGTAAATACTTGGAAAACACTACTAGACATCTATTCCTGGAGATTTATAACTCCAGCTAGGATGCTAAGTGCTCTGAGAAGTTTCCAAAGTCTGAGTCCTTAAGAATTTGAGCTTTGGAGTTATCTTTAGGTCTGATCTGTAGTTCTATAAGTCATAGCTGTAACACTGTGAGCCTCATATTCACCAAGTGCCCCAGTCTTTGCTTGCCCTGGCCTAGGTTCTTCAGTTGTGCTGATCTTGATGCAACCAGCTGGTCTCTGACTTTGTAGAGATTTCCCTAGTATGATGTCATGTTTATGGAGAGGCATGATTACTGTTTTGCAACCAATCAAATAAATTAGATTAAATACTTAATATGAAACTCATTCTTATAAGTTGATTGACTATGCATCTAGAAAGTGAGCAAATATTCTAATCCCTTAGCGAAAAAGTTTTAAAAATAACTTATAATATAAACTCTTAGAAGATTACACACAGTTTAAGCCAACTTCCTATACTCTATGAAATCATCTTCCTTTTTAGGAAATTTACATAAAACATTGTGCCAGTAAAGTAAGAAACCTAGGAGTCTTCCTTGATTTCTATGATTCATTTGTTCACCACAACTAAGAAATCTTTAAGATCTTCCTATTTAGTCTCCTAAATATTTTTAAAATCTCTTTTCTCTATCCTTACAATGACTACATTGCCTCCTGGTTATTGATCTCCTTGTTCTACTCACTTCTTACCCCATATATATATGGAAAAATATATATGAATCTTAATACAACATAGATTAAAAATTCTCCCAAATGTAAGTAGGGTATGTAACATACAAGGTTTATCTGATAACCCCGTTTTTTTGGTGTCAGAGGAGCTAAAATTTGATTACTGAATTCTAGTTGTAACAAATAACTTCTTCAATAATCATCAAAGACAACCAATTGGACTTGTAAAAGAGACAGTGGTTCACTTAAAATTGATTACCTTGCATAAAATGTTTTAGTTTCAAGGCAGGTATTATTTACTGTATTCAAAGTTTTTATGTACTTATAAATGGACATTTGCAATAAATTATAAATTAAAACCATTAGTCTATCATATATATGTCACAATACTAAGAAAATACTTTTATACATTTTGGGAAAAGTTGTTAGTTTAAATTTACTGGAAAATATTTGTACAGTTTTTCTTACCTACTAGTATACCTTCATATTCTATTATGTATTGTTAAGACTATTTATTTTACAGTGTCTATTTAATGTCTGATTCACATATAGGTTCCGTCTGGTGGAGTTCCTGTAGGTACTAGGTGTTGATTCTGTGATTGCTAATTGCTGTGTTTCATTTATTTGTTCATTTTTCTTTTCCATAAAGCTTTATTATTATTTATAAATCTATCAAAATTATTATATAGAAATTTATCTACATGACATCTTGGCTAACATACTGTGACATTTGTAGTTGTAAACTTAATCACAGTATTCTTACTAAAATGTTCTAAATTTGATATGAAGCACTTCAAACTATGTACTTCAGGCTACCACTACTGATTAAATTTGTCAGATTGGAATTAACCTTTGTACTTTCTTGTTATGGTTTACAATTTTGATGTGTATGGATCCATATTTATGCACACATGTATTTAATATGTATATACATACATTTGTATGTTGTACATGTACATATATAAACAGGCATACAATATAGAGTGTTTTAATATATTTTATTCCTGTCAGATACCCTAAATTGATTTCAAATCCGGTAGATTGGCATATTTATAATGGGATGCTTTTATCTTATTACATTATTATTCAGATATTTATTTACTACTCTATTTGTATATGCATTTATTTTTGCATTCAGTATTTCTCTTTGTGAGTGCATGTCAGAGTTTATTTTACCCCCTCCCAAAACAGTGTGTATATTAATTATATTTTTGATATATATCAAATATGTATTTCAGGGTAACATAAAATAATACTTTGTGTCACAAAAGGAAAAAAAGTAATTCTTCTTGTAGATATTTATTTAAAACTCTAATATTCTTTAAATCATCTTACAGAAACAACTACTACATAAAATCTACAGTCCCTATGGAAAAATTAAGCCAGAACATTATCTGCCCGTTTGTATCATACATAGTCCATGAGACTTTTGAGCATGTAGCTCTCAAGTGGTTAGTGGTCTTATAAACATACAGATATCGACTAAACTTGACAGTACAACTGATGGATTATATAATTCAAATATATTTATGAGATTCAGACTGTATATTAGGATATCAAGACGCAGCTTCACAAAGGAAGAATTTAAATTTTAAAGAGATTGGATGTTTGGCTATTCCTCCCCCCCAAAAAAATATTTTATTTTGGTACAAGTATCCAAGTTGCCTAGGTTGAGCTCAAACTTACATTCCTCTTACCTCAGCCTCCCTGAACTCTCGGATTTTATAAACATGTGCCACCATGCCTGGTTTTTGTTAAACTTTTGACATTTTTGGATTTGATGCTTATCAAAGCAACAAAACCTTTAACTATAAATATTGTCATTCAAAGATAGGTTCATTTGTGTTAATATGCATCCATTGAAATTTGATATTAATGTTTCATTAAATTATCATAAAAACATAAAAAAGACATGATGTAGTTTTAAAACATTCATATCACATCTGAAAATGGTATTAACCTTACAAATCAATATAAAGATTAAAGTTTTAGTAATAATTTATTTTTTTTTCAAATTCTTCATGATTTTAATACTGAAAGACTTGCCAAGATCCTGACTTATATCATCTATTTATTCTACTTGTAGACATATAAAAGTTACTATTTTAAGCAAATATAAATGACAAGAGTTCTCTTTTAATCAAGTTATTTTGCAAAGAAAATTAGAATGAGCTATATAATAAGACATGTATAGTGACAATGTTATGTGGTAGATTATCTCCTTCAGGTACCTCAATAATCTGAAGTTTTCAGGGATATTATTTCAGTCTCTATCTAAGGCATTATGAGTGGACTCGAGGAGAGATCATTAAATTATCAGTACATCTTTAATGTCTCTGGTTACCCAATATGAAAGACTGTTTATGGAATATCAATATGTATATCATCTTCATATGATAAACATTTGACAGTTAAAGTCCAAAGATTCTTTAAAATTTGATAAAATGTAATGATGCTATTTATGTAAGAACTATGTTATATTATAGTCATTTAAGCAAATGCTTGCTTACAACTCAATTTCATCCCAGTGCTTATTATCAGAATACATGACATGTGAAAATAGTAAAAATGTGTGGTGAATATATGAATGAATATACTGAACTAGCAGAGGCTATAGCTGAGTGGAAAAAAAGAAACTAAGAAAGGATTAAGGTATAAATTAGAAAACAATGGAAGGATTTGAAAAGGAAGAAAGAAGTAAGCAGTTGGTAAACAAGTCAAATAGAAAATCTCACTCAACTATATTACTGGATACTAAAGTTATGAGTAAAATAATGTATATTAGATGGAACAGTTTTGACATAATTGGAGATTATAAAAAATGCAAATTAAATGCTTAAGAATTTGGCAAAATTAAGGAAAAACACAAAATGGTAGACATTTATGCTTCGTTTCTATTGATTGAAGTCACATGCTAATATTTAATCATCTCTAATGATTAAATTTCAACACAACTGAATCTGAAGCATAATGAAATAATTAGAATTTTTATTAATGTTATTCAAAATATGTTACTTTCATAGATACATAATTTTTCAAAATTAATTAGAATATTTGATTAATTAAACCACTTTTAATTTTTTTCTTTTGTTTTTTTGAGTCAGGGTCTCACTATGTAGTTCAGGCTGGCCTTGAACTCATTATGTAGCACAGGCTGGCTGCAAACTCATAGTGATCCTCCTGCTTCAGCCTCCCAAGTGCTGGGATTACAGGCATGCACCACTATGCCCAGCTAATAATCTACTTTTTATCCACATCAGTCACTGGCCTGTTGTTGCTGAAATAGAGAAACATGAGGTGACTTTTGAAAGTAGCACAATGCAAAGTCTCTTGACTTTTGCATTTTAATATAATGATAATTTGATTATAACAGAACAATGGAAGCTATTATTTATTGTATTAATTTCTTTATTGTTCTGGGATAAAGGTAGCATATAGACAAAATTATGTACAAAGAAGCTATCACATAATGAGATATTATTAATATATAACTTGTTTTAGCTATATGATTTTCAATGAAATCATTTATGTCGACATCACTTGAAATATAGACAGCAGCCATAGAAAATGTACATATTAATGTACACTGGGCTTCATGTAAATCATGCCTACTTTTTATTATTATACTGCCTATTTTAACTTTTTTGTTTTACATTGAAATTTTTAAAAATATAAGCTGGTTTTTTTCCCAAATTAACACGTTTAACAATATTGAACTGTCTGCTCTTTAAGTCCTTGACACTAGATGTATTACATTTTATTACCACACATTTTACATCACACAATGCAAAATGTTATAATTCATAACAAAAATGTTGTAATTTATAAAGATACCTTGTCATCTTGTGTTATCCCATTTTTTATTTTTTATAGTCTAACAGTCCACTTTCTCAATATTCCTCATTTATTTGCTACTAGACTTCCTGCCCCACTATGTAGACATCAAGCCTTCTCACTGCATTTCTTCTTTCTGTGAGTTGCAGAGAATAATATCTTATCATTCAGCGGTGGCAATCAAATTGTGATGGTGTTCCATTATCAAGTTAATTATCTCTTACTCTTGAAATTTGAAATCATTTCCTCCATATA